CAGACTCTAGGTCCATCCACCTCACTACAGATAACTCAGTTTCATTTCTTTTTATGGCTGAGTAATATTCCATTGTATATATGTGCCACACCTTCTTTATCCATTCAGATGTCGATGGACACTTAGGTTGCTTCCATGTCCTGGCTATTGTAAGTAGAGCTGCAGTGAACATTGGGGCGCATGTGCTTTTTTGAATTATGGCTTTCTCTGGGTATATGCCCAGTAGTGGGATTGCTGGGTTGTATGGTAGTTCTATTTTTAGTTTTTTAAGGAACCTCCATACTGTTCTCCATAGTGGCTGTATCAATTTACATTCAGGGGGGCGGATCTTGAGAAGAAAGGGCCACGGCGGCGGGGTCAGGCTCGCGTGGTGGAACTAAGAACCTGGGAAGGAGGTTTTCTCAGCAACAGAGCGGGGCAGCGTGGTCTGCGCGACGGAACGTAGCATTTGGGGGCGGCCCGCGGTGCTCCGCCGCGCCTGACAACGGAGGCGAGGCGGGTGATGTCAGGCGGAAGAGCGAAATCGGAGCCGAAAGGCTGAGGGGGGAGGGGAGTCGGAGCCTGCGTGATGGAGGGAGCTGGAGCCTGGGAACGAGGCTTGTGACGTAGGCCGAGGGGCGTGTCCTGGGGCAGAGGAAAGACTGCAGAGGGGAGGTGGTGCCTTGTGAAGCAGAAAATGGCGCCTGCGAATGAGCAAAGTTTGTGACGCGGCGAGGTTTTTGCCTCTGGCCGAGCCCTTCTTCCCAGGACGGGAGAAAGTGCAGGTGATTGGCACGGGAGGGGCCTTCGATGTTACATTTGTTTTCTGTTTTGTAATGCTTTGTTTTTGTAATCAGGAACAAATAGCTTTTTAAAATGTCAACGCGTATCTTGATAAATCGGCTTGTTTAATTGATTTCTTTGCTAACCAGTGCTTGAAATGTACTGTTCCTGGGTTCATTTTATTTCTCGCCGAGTTGTATCTCGTTTTTTAAGTTGTGAAATACGTAAGACCTGTAAAGATTATATGAAACGTTTACGTAGCCCAGGTTGATGGACATTCTATAAAAATAAACGGCCTGTGCTCTTCAAAAATTTCAAGGTCGTGAGAGACAAAGGATGAAGAACTGTTCCAGACTGAAGAAATTAACGGGATTTAACGAGTCATGATAACTAAATGCAAAGTGTGATCCTGGGTTGGATCCCGGAGCAGAAAAAATAAATTATTTAAAAATAAGTTTTTTCTCATAAAATGAATTTTCTCTCTTTTACTGTAAAAGATATGAATGGGGAAATTGGTAAAATTTTACTAAGGTCTGAAGATTAGCTATTAGTACTGCTAATTCCTTGCTTTTGATAATTGTATTTTGAGTATGAAAGGGAATATCTTTGTTTTTAGGAAATACATGCCGAAATATTTAGGGGTAAAGAACCATCGTGTAAGCAAGCTTACTCTGAAATCGTTGAAAGAATGGCATATATAAAAACGTATTTAAAGGAATAATCGAGCAAATGGGTAAAATTTTAAATTTGGAGAATCTGGATGAAGGGCACGCGGGAATTCTTTGTATTATTTTTGCGATTTTTCTGAGTCTATTTCAAAGTAAAAAATTTAAAGAATAATAAAAAAATTTGTGAATTAATCACCTAGGTTAAGATTCAGACCGTTACCTTAAGAAATCCTTCTGTGCCCCTCCCAGATGAAGATCCCCCTCCCTGCCAGGGGAAGTTATTACCCTGAATTTTTAATTTCGTTAACATTTCCCCACCATTGTATGCATCCCTAAATAGTATTTGTGGTCTAAGCTTTCATTTTATTGAGGGTATATATGAAATCAGACTGGATGCACATGGTGTGCCCTTTGCATCATGTCAGGTGGGTACTCTGTATTCACATGACGTCATTGGTGATGTTAGCCTTGATCACTTGGTGAAGGTATCTGCTGGGTTTCTCCACTGTGCAGGTACTATTTTCCTCTTTCTGTACACAGTAATTCTTTTTAAAAATAATTTATGTCCATCCTTTCCTCAAAATGTTTTAACAGTCTTCCCATTTTATTCAATGTAACTGCTAAAATTCTTACAATGACTTGCAAGGCTTTAGGATTGCGAGGCTGGTCCCTGGCTCTGATCTTCTCCCATGCTCTTCTGATTTCCCTCCCCCTCACTTTCCCCATCCGGCCATGTTGGACTCTTGCTGTTCCTCGAACGCCTCAAGCATGCTCTCACCTGAGAGCCTTTAGGAGTGAGGTTTGCTCATTTTACAGAGTTATTTAATCACAGTACTAGCGAAATATATATTCCTGTTACTGGAGAGACAAGTTGAGATTCCCCAAATCGGAAATATGGAACTGAGCAGTTTGTTTTACCATTACACTATAGCTCTCCAGCAAGGCAAAACCTCAATCCATCCTGAGAATAAACAATAACAGGAACGTTTTTATAGCCCATTTGGAGGTGTTCAGAAGGGCGGGGGGGGGACTTTGGTTTCTGCCCCATCCTACCTTTACAGCCTTGTGACAATACCCTTTAAAATTATCCCACCAGTACCAGGTTTCCTCTTGGGGTGTTGAAAATGTTTTGGAAGTAGATAGAGGTTGTGGTTGCACAATGCTGAATGTACTAAATGCCATTGAATTGTTCACTTTTTAAATGGTTAATTTTATGTCATGTGAATAAAAAATTATGCTCTGTCAATAAAAAAAATTTATCCCATCGATGTTGGTTCAGTGAAACCAGTTTATCTCTGCTTTTGTGGATAATATGCAGCATTTTTCCTTAGCTCCATTTTTTAATGCTTATCTAGAGCAGAGCACCTCAAGATTCTTTAATTTTCTGTCTATTTTATAGGGGTTTGCTGCAGTGGTCAGGAAATTTGTGCTTATAAAGCATTTCAAAGTCATGGACTAACCCCAAATCATATACCTAATATCCATATTAATATTTGCACCTTCTATCTTTTGTCAGCTGGCATATTTGGGTGGGCGCATTTAATTAATTTGGCCATCTAAATTGATTTAATTTCTAGGAGAAGCTTAAATTTTAAGAGAAAATTCAAATCTGTGATAGTTTAGCCTCCTTGGCAAATTTTCGAGGATGAACCATCTAAAACAAATCTGGGATAGCTGGAGTCTCTAGGTCTGTGCAGGGTGGGGATAGTTTCCTAACAGAGGTAAGCAAGCATGAGGTTCTCTTTGCTCAGGTTAAGGAAGGTGGGTGGCTGGGTTCAGTATTGCAGAATCGACTGTGATGTGTGAAGGGGAAGCAACGTCTCACTGGAGCTTAAGAGACTAGCCTAGAAATGTTGAGGGTTTTCTGTCAATGGAGAAGTCTGCACAGCACGGGGAACCATTACCTTTAATGAAGACCCTAGAACTAAACCGACTGAAATTTTCACACGTTTGGTTGGCGATTGCTGCTATAGCTCTTACACAAGGTAAATATGCTTTGGCCACTGGATCTAATGAAAGACTGAAAAAAACAATAGGCCTCTGACAATTCCCCTCTAATTGAGTCGGCACCCTTAGTACCTGTTCAGACTTTTTGTGAACCAAAAAGGGAAAGGAGTTTGTGAGTCTAGCGTCCTGGAGGGGGGATCTTTTGGTAGACAGTTACTGTACTAGTCTTTGTTGCTTGAACATTATGCTTTTTAGCTTGAAAAGTATGCAGTTATTGAAAGATATTTATATTAGTATATCTAATTATATATAATTAATAACTAATCTAGGAAGATAAACTTTCTTTTTGGTTTGTCATTTTTAAAAATATCAAGTTTGAAAAATGAAAGCCTTTCTGAAATTTTCAAGTTAATTAAAATTGGGGGAATTTTGGATAAACCTAATGATGCTATTGTCATTCCTTTTATAGGGCAAAGGAGCAGATCTTTGTGGTATCTCCCAGAGATAGTTTAGACAGAAAAGAACATCTTAACAGTGTTGTTATTCTGACTTTGGCCTGAATTTGTGAAAGACAAAGGAAGAATAGTTGTTTTTTTAACAAGATATAAATTGAAGTAAAGACAAGAAATATTTATAGTCAACCTCGTAAAACACAGTGATAAATAACAAAGATTTTTAGGAGCTTAACTTTTTTTTAAAGAAAGAATTATTTTTAAAAAATGAGCTAAGGAGATGTCAGAAGGTACCAAGAGTTAACAGTAATTTGGTGACAGAAAAAGGAACTTCCAGTCTGGGCATAAATTAATGTAGTCATTTTACAGAAAAAGGCCCCAATTCTAATTTTTCTCCTTTGGTACATTATTCATGTAACAATTTATAGAAAGGATTTATTTATATGCCTGCCTTCTTATTTATGTATGTAGGCTTATACAGATATATAAATAATAAATTTAGAACAATGTAATAGCACATTTACCATCTGAATAAGCTAACAACCTTTTAATAAAACAAGGAGGAAACCATCTCTTAGTTTACATCCATATTTCTATTTCTCTGTAATTATTATACCTAGTGTAATGATTAACCAGAATAACCCATATTTTCTCCAGACACAAGAGAAATCTAGAGGACAGACAATATTTTTAGTAATTTCTTTCCATAAGCACATATTTCATATCATTTTAACAAATTTGAGGAAACACAAACATAAGTGACTTTAGGAAGATCCATTTTATTTCTGTATACTAGCAACAAGACATTAGAAAGTTAAAATTTGAAAGATACCATTTACAGTAGCAACCAAAAAAAAATTGAAGTGTAGGAGTAAATAACAATGTGATGCTTTTTCATTAGACAATGACAGCTCTGTCATGACTGCCACCTGAGCTGACAGATTATGAGCCATCCCAATTCAGAGATGTTAAAAAAGTTTTTGTGTCTTTGAATTGAAAAAACATGCTAGTGATACTTTGTGAAAATTTATGTAAAACTTCAGTCTTCTATGACGGCTTTAGAAATCCAGGTTGTAGCCAGGTCTGGAGGTTTTGCTTACCACTCTAAAAAGTGATTTTAATGTTAATCTTCCTTAAAAATCTGCTTTTAAAAAAACCCATTGAGCTGTAGCTCCTTTTGCTTCGAAGGTCCCATTAACAATAAACTAGCTTTACTGAGTAACCTCATAGACCATCAATGGAGGCAATTAAAACCTTGAAGGGGAGGTGAAGGTGCAAGTGGCAGAGGGTAAGGTCCGCGATGGGGTTTTCTAGATGAGTGATGGGAAGTGTCTGTGGCTTGAGCCACTGGAGTGGGGAGGGTGTGTGTTCCTGGCATGAATGAAGTACGGGGTCTGTGGGGGTCACTGCAACCCCCCAAATAAATAAATGAATAAAAAACAACCCACAGAAAAGTTTGCCTATTGGGGCAACATGTGACTATTCCAGGGTTTTTCTATCTCCCCATCCCCCTACCTTTCTGATCCTTTTTTAAACAAAGAAAAGTTGCTATGTTAAGGAATCCAATTTATAGAGTTAAATCGCTGGAAAACTGTTACATATTTTTTATCAGTTTTGTAATTTTTTTAAAAAGTGTTTATTTGAGGCTGTTAAATACTTGGGACAGCCTTTTATGTGTCAACAATTCCATAGCAGGGACTTCCCTGGCGGTCCAGTGATTAAGATTCTGCACTTCCACTGCAGCGGGCAAGGTTCGATCCCTGGTCTGGGAACTAAGATCTTGCATGCCACGGGTGGGCGCAGCCAAAAAAAAAAGAAAAAAAAAATTCCATAGCAGAGCAGGTTTGTGTTGGAGTTGGAGGGGGGAACGAGGATTACGTGTACATGAACTTTTTTGTCTAAGCCCTGGGACCGGAACAGTAACAGCTAATGTTCATTTAGCACTTACTATATGTCAAGTATTTTGCAGACTTCAGAATTTCTCATGACATTTTACAAAGGCAGATTTCAACAGTCTTAAATGTTTATCCTAGTAGTGCATATAAAAGTCTCCTTTAAAAGAGAATAGGTCAAACTGCACTTAAAGGTGGTTCAGGTGGTAAATTTTATGTTTTTAACCACAGTTTTACATAAAGAGTGAGCTAGTCACCATACACTTAGAAATTTACTCTAAAGCCAAAATAAATCCTAAATAAGAAATTATTTTTAAGATGGCAGTATACAGTTTTTGAAGGAAAACTTTATGAGTCTTATAGCAGTTGAAATTCTTCTTGATTTCTGAGCGGGTTTTCAGAATTTAACAATCCATTTCTTAGCTGAAGATTTTTGTATCCTTTACAAACACTGCACATTTAACAAATGGCTAAGTCTTACAACATTAGCTGCAAATAAGTTATTTTGAACCTAATTTGACTGTGTTACCCCACAGACTAATACAAGTGAATTATTGTTTATTCCATAGTAAAATCTCCTGTTTTCTGGCACCATGGGTATGGGTATGGGTTTTGGTTTTTTTTTTTTTGCCGTTATTGAGCACACTTTCTGTTTTTAATCATCAAATCTCTTTTAGTATCCTAAGAAGTTAAGCATTCTATCCAAATCTGGATTTCACTGAATACATTTTGCTTCTAGTTTATTTTTATATGATGCTGAAAAATTTTTTAAATGTTGAATTCTGGGAAGAATTTCTTTTTTTAATCGGAAATATAGTTGGCGTATAGCGCTGTATTAGTTTCAGGTGTTCATGAAACTTGTCATCTTGACTTGTAACATGTTGATACTTTTAGTCTAATAACCGTGTGAAGTGGTACCACTAACCCCCAGATAGCCGTGTGACACCCCTGTCACCTGTCTGGTCCAGGTTCCTCGTGGAGCAGCACTGGTACAAGCAGTGGGAAGTATACGTGCAGGGAGGAGACCAGGACCCCAGCACCTTCCCTGGCTGCATCAACAATGCTGAGCTCTTTGAAGGTACCAGGCTTCTGCCTCCCAACATCAGCTAAGCCTGGACTTCTTGTCATCTTTGTCCCCGCAAATGATCATGAGCCCCTTTTCTGTGCTAGGTCATTGGTGAGATGGCCAGAGTGACTCATCACTTTCCTTCCCTGATTGTTCCTCTGCCACCTCCCCCCGCCCTCCTGCAGACCAGGTAAACTGGCGCCTCAAGAAGGGACTGGTGGAAGGTGAGGACTATGTGCTGCTCCCAGCGGCTGCTTGGCATTACCTGGTCAACTGGTATGGTCTAGAGCATGGCCAGCCTCCCATTGAACGCAAGGTATAGTGGGTGGGGAGGGTGCTGGGGGGTGGCTTTTATAGGGCGGGGAGTGTAGGAGGAAGGCCTCCATAGGCCCAGGATGGGTCCAGACCTGTGTGTTCACGTATGCTGTATCCATACACCTGGGTCTGCCCTCTCCTCCTCTCCCAGGTCATTAGACGGTATCTTGCTGTGTCCCCTGCATCTGCTCGCCTGTGTGTGCTCCCCTCACAGAGCCTCGTACATGTGTCTATGCCATGTGTGTTTGTCTGTGTGGATGTTCCTCTGATCTCAAAGGTCGTCGTTCCTGTGTCCATGTGTGTGTTGTGTGGGTACACCTGTGTGTGCATCCTTCCCTCCTTCCAGGTCGTGGAGCTGTCCAGCATCCAGAAGGTTGAAGTGTACCCAGTAGAACTGCTGCTCATCCAGCACAGTGATATGGACACAGCTCACACCGCTCAATTCAGCCGCACAGATTCTGTTGGTGAGTCTAAGGGTCGCGGAATGAGTTGGCATTCCCAGCCACGGTCACAGCTCGGTGACCTAAGGAATCTGATGCCAAGATGGGTGGATCCTCCAGGGTCCCAGGAAGACCTTGAATGTGCTCCATCACCCTCCACAGACCTAGTTCTGCGCACCGCTCAAGAGCAGTTTCTGGTGAGCCCCCAGGAAGAGACACGGCTGTGGATCAAGAACGCGGAGGGCTCTTTTGAGAGGTTGTGCAACACACGTGTCACAGTGCTTGACGCCGCTCTCAAGACTGGGCAGGTAAGGGTGGGGAGGGCTTCTTGGCCCACCACCCGTGCTCAGTTGGGGGAAGTGAGGGCTAGGTGTCCATGGGCCCGCCATGAATGCCTTTCCTGATCTTTACTCCTCTTCCTCCAACCCAGGTGGTCATCATGGAGACCCGAAACAAGGATGGCACTTGGCCCAGCGCACAGCTGCCCGCCATGTGAGCCCTTGGGGTTTCCAGTCCAGAGTGGGATCCCACAGTAGGCAGAACAACTGAGCCCAAGAGCACATTCCACCCACAAGTAGTAGGTCCTCAGCTGATAAGAGTTTCTCATCCGTCCCAGGAGCAGCGCGTCGGAGGAGGATGAGGACTTCCAGGGCCAGCCGGGCATCTGTGGTCTCACCAATCTGGGCAACACGTGCTTCATGAACTCGGCCCTGCAGGTTGAGCCATTAGGTCTAGGTCTGGCACTGCGCAGGGATGGATTTGAGCGTTGGAGATTGGGGACAGAGCTAAGGGGGTACTGCAGGGCAAGGGGTCAGTTGGAAGCTGGGGCCCCACAGTCTGGCTCGACATGCCCACGTTACTTTCTGAAACGTTAATGCCTCTTCCTTCCACTTGCTCCCTGCTTTCCCTTCTCTCCTTCGTCACCACATTCTTCCTTCTCCTGAAATTCTTCTCTCCCCTACTCCCCTGCCCCTTCTCTTTCTTTCCCCTTCCTCCTGTCTCCCTTTCCTCTGTCCCCACCTTGGTTACCTCTCTCGCCTCTTCATGCACCTGGCCCCTGCCTTCTGCAGTGCCTCAGCAACGTGCCACAGCTCACCAACTACTTCCTCAAAAACCGCTACCTGGAGGAGCTCAACTTCTGCAACCCACTGGGCATGAAGGGGGAGATCGCAGAGGCCTATGCGGACCTGGTGAAGCAGGCGTGGTCCGGCCACCACCGCTCCATCGTGCCCCACGTGTTCAAGGTGTGGCTCAGCCCTGGCCGGTTCCTCTGTGCCCCCATCCCCCAACTCCCTCACGCTCTGACGGCCCTGCCCATCTTCTCAGACCAAGGTCGGCCACTTTGCGTCCCAGTTTCTGGGCTACCAGCAGCATGACTCACAGGAGCTGCTGTCGTTCCTCCTGGATGGGCTGCACGAGGACCTCAATCGTGTTAAGAAGAAGGAATATGTGGAACTGTGCGATGCTGCTGGGAGGCCAGATCAGGTGGGCGCTCCTGGAAGACCCCCATCCTGAGAGCCTCATTAAAGCCACTAGGGCCCTGCCTCAGGAATTTTCTGGCCTCCCTGGAGTATCCCGCACACCACCATTTTCTATTAAGTTTCTCTTCCCTGACCTCAGTCCCAACCTTGGCTCCAATGCCACATCTGCGCTCACGCCCAACCCAGAGTTAACCCCCACCTGGTCTCCTGCCCCAAATAACCCCCGGCCCCGACAGTGAACGCAGTCTCCAGATAGCCCTCACTGTAACTCTGCCTCTGGACTTTACCGGTGGCCGTAACCTTAACTTTAATCCCATGCACATCCACCCCATACCATGGTTTTCCCCGGCCCCGGGCAAGCCTCACCACCCACCATGACACTCAACAGGAGGTTGCTCAGGAGGCCTGGCAGAACCACAAACGGCGGAACGATTCTGTGATTGTGGACACTTTCCATGGCCTCTTCAAGTCCACGGTGGTGTGCCCTGATTGTGGCAACGTGTCTGTGACCTTCGACCCCTTCTGCTACCTCAGTGTCCCATTGCCTATGACCCACAAGAGGGTCATGGAGGTCTTCTTTGTCTCCATGGACCCCCGCCGCAAGCCAGAGCAGGTATGGGGGGAATGGGGACAGGGGACGTAATGAGGAACATGTAGTCAGAGTTCGTTTGATTACTCTGTCGTACCTCAGGGTTTCCTTCACTAACTCACCACACATCCTTCTGCTCTTTTGTGGATACCGTTCCTCCCTCAGCACCGGCTCGTGGTCCCCAAGAAAGGCAAGATCTCGGATCTGTGTGTGGCTCTGGCCAAACACACTGGTGTCTCGCCAGAAAGGGTGAGGCTCTGCAGATAGGAGGAGGGTGGGATTCAGGGGCAGGGGGGCAGAGAGAGGCAGAAGGGCCTGGGGGAGACCTGGCAGACTGACCGGTCCCCTCTCTGCATCCCATTCTCAGATGATGGTGGCCGATGTCTTCAGTCACCGCTTCTATAAGATCTACCAGCTGGAGGAGTCTCTGAGCAGCATCTTGGACCGAGATGATATCTTCATGTGAGTGAGAGGACGAGGGGAGATGAGGGCTTCTCAGGAACCTCCTCCGTTAACCACCTTCCCTCTCCCTTCCTCGGCCTGATTCACAGGGCACCTGCGCAGCTCGGGGCTTCGGCCATGTGCCTTAGTGGGGCAGGGGGCTAGGGGCTGTCAGTGAGTGGGGCGACACATCCTTATACAGGGTGTCCTTGGGTGTTTTCCTCCTTGTTATGTGAGGGAGGCTCCTGTTTCTTTATTTTATTCAGCACTTAACTAGTACCTTGTATGTACCCGATGCTGATCTGCACTCCTTACTCACATTGCATGCCTCAAAAACCCAAGTGATTTTTGAAATGGGGAACACTAAGATGCTTTCTGAACATGAGAACATTCAGAGCAAGTTTGAAATCTTTGGGTAACTAAAATAGAAGGTGCTTTATGAGTAGAAAAATTTTTATAAACCAAGCAGTTTAGTTTTCCAAAAAGAAAATGGTTTTAGATCCCTGTGTCACAAAAAATTTTTGTCAGCTCCCTCAGTGCGCTGATAACACCGAAGTACTTTATCTAACATCACATAAACAAAGGGCTGTGTAAATCATCCAACAGTTTGTAAAATACAGAACCCTGGGTAACTCTTCGGACCCTTTTAAAAATATTTTCAGGCTGTGAGTGGTGAGTGGCTGGAGCAACTGGGGTAGAATCCTCGAATCCCTCTTGGGTGTTCTGATCAGGCGTGGCCTGATGTCCATCCCCCACAGATACGAGGTGTCAGGCAGGGCTGCTATTGGCGAGAACTCCAGAGAGGACGTTGTGCTTCCTATCTACCTGCGGGAGCGCACCCCAGCCCGGGACTACAACAATTCTTACTATGGCCTGATGCTCTTTGGGCACCCGCTCCTGGTGTCGGTGCCCCGGGACCGGCTCTCCTGGGATGCCCTGTATCACATCCTGCTGTACCGCCTCTCGTGAGTCTGCTGTTTGGGGTCAGGCAGGGAGGTGGGGTCAGAACTCAGATCCGGGCGTCTAGCTGCTTAGTTGCCACCTCCCGTCTGCATCCAGAAGACAGCTCAAACTTAACATGGCCAGAGAGGAACTTGTAGGCTTTTTTCTTTCTCTAAATTTCTGACTTTGCACCACTTCTCCTAGGTGCTGGGGATACACAGAGGTGAACAAGACAGACAAAATGCAGACTTCATCTTGTACTTAATTGTCTCTTCCTTGGAGAGGCTTGGTTGCTTGTGTTTTTACTGATAGATTTTCATTGTGCTTAAAATCCAGAGTCCTTACCAAGGCAAACAACAGTGCGTTATCTGGCTTCACCTCTCTCTCATGTTGCACTTACAAGTGCTTCTCAGAGGCCTTCCCTGATGGAAATTTACAGCTGATTGTGTGCCTGTTTACCAGTGGCTTATCATACTTAAGATCCACGCTCCTTAACTGTGGCACACAAGATCCTACATTGTCAGGCTGCCTCTTCCCGTGTCCCTCTGACATCTCCTGAGACCTTCCGGGCTCCTCCTTAAGAACTGTTTGTGTGTGGGTTTACCAGTGGCTTCCCATCATAAGCAAAGTAGGATTCTGGGCTCTGTCCTCCCTGCCCTCGGGTCCCTCCTTGAGAGTCTCCTCTGCTCTGTTGGCAGACGCTATGTGACCAGACCCAGCTCGGATGACGAGGATGATGGGGATGAGAAAGGTGAGGAGGAGAAAGGAGAGAGGATCGGCAAGGATTAGGGTCTGTACAAGCAGTCCCATGGCCTGAGGGAGGGTCAGGGGGTTTGGGGTCGGTCTGGCCCACACAGGGTCCACATGGATGTGTATTGCAGCTCAACCCACTGGGGCTCACACATTTCCACCTCTGACATCCTCTCCTGTCCCAGCAGACCTGGAGGATAAGGACAACCTCCCTAAGCCTGGACATGTGGCTGGGGGCAGCTCCCAAGACCCTGGGCCGGAGCAGGCTGGGCCCAGCTCTGGAGTCGCGGGCGGGAGCCGGGCCCCCGTGGACAACTCCCCTGGACCATCCCACTGGCCCCAGAGAGCACGGCGCAAGCACCTCTTCACCCTGCAGACAGTGAATTCCAATGGGACCAGCGACCGCTCGACCTTCAACGAGGATACCCATGGTGTCTCCTTCAGCTGTGAGCCAGGGTTGGGGAGGCGGGAGGGGGGTTTGCTTGGCAGCAGGGCCCATGACCACCTCCCCTCGCCCCCAGCCCAGCCGTACATTGCCATCGACTGGGAGCCAGAGATGAAGAAGCGTTACTATGACGAGGTGGAGGCTGAGGTAAACGAGATCCTGGGGATGGGAGGCACTTTCACCTTGCGCTACACACAAAGTCCGTGCTCTTAACCACTCGGCGTGTGTCTTCCACCCCGACTCCTTTTTATCCCCCACAACCCCCATCCTCATACCTGGCTGTCCATTCCCCCAACCTAGGGCTACGTGAAGCATGACTGTGTTGGGTACGTGCTGAAGAAGGCTCCGGTGCGGCTGCAGGAGTGCATCGAGCTCTTCACCACCACTGAGACCCTGGAGAAGGAAAACCCCTGGTGAGGGCCCAGAACAGGGCCTCTGTGGGTGCAGTTGGGTGGGACCACCTCCTCCAGTCCGTCACCACTAAATACACCTCCTTCCCCCTCCCCCTCACTCGAAGCCTTCCTGCCACTCTGGCCACCAACACCCCAAGCCTATTCCTACCTCAGAGCCTTTGCCTGGGCTGTTCCTTCTCCCAGGGTCATTCTTCCTCTAGTTATCTACAGGATTTGACCTCCATTTTGCTCAGGTCTCTGAGCAAATGTTACCTCATCAGAGAGACCGTCTCTTACTCTTCTGTTAAAAGCCGCTCCTCTCCCAGCCATCAGCTCCCTCCATTCCCTCTTTCTAGCTCTGTAACGCCACTTGATGTCACCTCCTAGATCCCCTTTTGCATCGTTTTTTTGTATTTTCTGTTAGAGTGAACCCCTTAAGGGGGAAGACTTTTGAGTTCACTGTGTGTCTCTTCTCACTGATTATAATGGTGTGGGCTGTGCAGTAGATACTCATTAGATCCTTGCAGAATAAACAAAACAGAAAAAGAGAACGAAAAAAGACAAAACCAGTCTCAAAAATAAGAGCGGCATCTCCATGGAGCAGAAAGGGAATAGAAATACAAAGTAGTGCCAAAGGACTCAACAGTAGACCGTCAGTAAATACCTGGCGAGTGAGTCAGTGAATAAAATAGAAGAGAGAAAACTGGAGTGAGAGAGGCAGGCTCTAAAAGAAGACTAGTGTCTCACAGACTGGAAGCCAAACAAAAACACACGCCAGTACAAAAGTGTATACAGTGGGGAGTTGGTAAGTACTTGGCAGGATTTTAACGTGTCAAGAGAGCAAACTAGAGTAACAGGCAGGCTAGGAGTAAGAGCAGCATCTCTGGATGAGACGTGGCCCACGAAGGCCGCACGGCACAAAGAGCATGCGGTAGGTGCTCAGAAAGTGTCTGTGTCCTGACTCGGGCTCCATCTCTAGGTACTGCCCCAATTGCAAGCAGCACCAGCTGGCCACCAAGAAGCTGGACCTGTGGATGCTGCCGGAGACGCTCATCATCCACCTGAAGCGCTTTTCCTACACCAAGTTCTCCCGCGAGAAGCTGGATACCCTTGTGGAGTTTCCTATCCGGTCCGGGGCCCGGGGAGGCTGGCTGTGGGGGGAAGGCAGGCAATGGGGAAGGGGGCGCCAGCAGTGTTAACCCTCTTCCCACCCACAGGGACCTGGACTTCTCCAAGTTTGTCATCAAGCCGCAGAACGAGTCGGCCCCAGAGCTGTACAAATATGATCTCATCGCAGTTTCCAACCATTACGGGGGCCTGCGGGATGGACACTGTATGTGCCAGGCTGTGGCAGGGCCGTGTGCTGGGGGGTCAGGATGTCCCCAGTGGGTGTCCCCAGATGTGTGAACGGGTGGCGAGGTCGTTAGGGTGGGAGGAGTGAGAGCGGACGTGGACGCCTCTTAGGGGCAGGAGGGTGGGTGAGGACAGCTTCCCCTCTTTTATAGACACGACATTTGCCTGCAACAAGGACAGCGGTCAATGGCACTACTTCGATGACAACAGTGTCTCACCTGTGACTGAGAATCAGATTGAGGTGTGATTTCCATCCTCCCTTCTCCCGACACCCTCCTCCCCGATCCACACTGACTCCTGTCCTCTCCTTGCAGTCCAAGGCAGCCTATGTCCTATTCTACCAACGCCAGGATGTGGCACGCCGCCTGCAACCCCAGCCCAGCTTATCTGACCCCCCAGCGTCCCCAGCCTGTGGTACCCCGGCCAACTCTGAGTTCATGGATATAAATTGAGGGCCCCTGGCCCTGCCACAGGGAAGGTAGCTATCTCTGCTCTCTTCCTTCCCAGCTCCACCCCTGTCCTCTTACCTGTGTTAGGTGCCCCATGCCAGACGCCACAGGCTTAGTCGTGGCTACTGTCCTGTGCTGCTATATTGCTTTCTCCTGGGGAAGAAGAGGCCATGTCTCCTTCCAGCAGTGTGTTCCCTACCTGTGTTTGCCCCTAGAGCATTAACCCTCCCTTCTATTCTCTATTTATGGTTGTCCCCTTCCCTCTTGTCCTCAACCTGGGGTGAACTGAGGGGTTGGTGGTGGGATGCACCTGAACACAGAGTGTATTTTCTTATTGAGACTCTGTACTTCCTGCTGTGTACATATAAACGTGCCAGTGTGTTCCTTGGCAGTGTGGGTTTTTTTCTTTTAACATACTTACCAAGCACCAGTTTTATGCCTGTGTGCTTACTGAATGCCAGGTGTGTGATGGCTGCTGCTCTGAGTGCACCATCTCTGTGCCAGGTACTATTCTAAGTGCTTCTGAAGCACCATCTGCGCATCAGACACGATTCTCAGCACCAACTGCATGCCCAGTGTTTCCCAAAGCATTTTGGAAATATCGATTCATAATCCTCACAACAGTCTCACGCAGGAGTTGTCATCGCCAATTTCAGATGGGGAAACAGATACAGAGGTCAAGTAATTGCTCGAGCTAGGTCCAGAGGTCAGTACACCTTATCAGTTACACGGCAGTAGTCCTGGAGGGGACGTTTGACCTCCCTGGACCCAGGATGGAAATCTTTGTGGACATGACCTGCACTACAGGTGATGTGGGAAAGGTGTGCCTGGAACAGACAGGCATCCGTGTGGGCAAATGGGTGGTTTCCGGACATAAAAGATACTAACCAGACCACCTCGCAGGCCCCCAGTAGTGTCCTCTGAGGAGTGGGTACATCTGGCCCAAGCCATACAAACTGACAGGACAGGTGTGCTGTGTTTGTGTCGCCCCTATGCTTAGCTTCCCGCCATGACTGCAGCTCCCCCACCAGGCAGGGTCCCTTTAGCCTCATGCCACAGAAGAGTGAGGTGGTGCGCCTAGCACAGAATGGGTGCAGCATAGTGTGTCTGCGCATAAGATGCCACCTAAGCACTGCACAGCCCCCACCTGAGCCCTCCCGTAGGCACCAGCTGTCACCTCTGAGAAACAGGGCTCTTGTGGGGACAACCTTGGGGCAGCGTGGAGTGGACAGATGTGCAGTATCTGGATGTAGACAAGCACCCCAACCCTTCACACTGAGGAAGGGAATCCTGATCAGGACGGCTGAGAGACCATTCCCATGGGAAGGGTCTCCTCATTCCCCTCAGCCTGCTGCCTTTGCACTGGACCTGGCAGGCTCCCCCCGCCCCCACCTCCAGCTTTATCACCCACAAATCTCCGGTCATGCTGTTGACACAGGCAAGAATCGAGGTAGTTGCTGTGAGGAGCTCAGCTCAAACTGACTTAAGCGAAAAGCACAGAAATACTAGTTAAAGGTATGACTGGATCCAGGAACTCATAAGCTGTTGTTTAATCCTCACGAAGACTATATGGTTTAAGCACTGTTACCCCATTTTGCAGATGAGGAATCAGGCGTAAAGAGCTGGTTCAAAATGAGACCTCAGGGCTTCCCTGGTGGCGCAGTGGTTGAGAGTCCGCCTGCCGATGCAGGGGACGCGGGTTCGTGCCCCGGTCCGGGAAGATCCCACATGCTGCGGAGCGGCTGGGCCCGTGAGCCATGGCCGCTGAGCCTGCGCGTCCAGAGCCTGTGCTCCGCAACGGGAGAGGCCACAACAGTGAGAGGCCCGCATACCGCAAAAAAAAAAGACCTCATTAGCTATGAGTAATCAATCAGTCCTGGACAAAAATCCACCTACAATGAATTCACTCAAAATAACTTCCCGGGTTTAACCAAAGACGTTTCGAAAAGACAACATGCCTAAGAATCAGGAGAAGTAAGAGGCAACAGACACAGTTACACAGAGACACCTCATATTAGAATCCTCAGACATCAATGTAAAACAGTTATGCTTACTCTGGCCATGGAAATAGAGACGATTACATATGAACAAGAAATTTAAAACTTTTAAAAATGAAAATGAGAAAGAACCAAGCAGAAGTAATAGATCTGAGATAGATAATAACAGTTTGAGAAGTCGATGGATGAGTTTAGCAACATATCAGACATAGCCGAGGAGGGACTCTGTGAATTGGATACAGTTTATAAAGTGCACTAAGTAGTGCACTTCTAGAAGATTTTAAGTTAGACTAATACTACCTTTCGATAAATTAAGGGTATAAAAACTAAAGAATAGAAAAAGTATAAATTTCAAACAAGAGGAAGGGAAATAGATGAATAATCCAAAAGAAGGCAAGAAGAAAGGAACATGGAACAAGGTGGATGGATAGCACATATGCAACCACTTGCAAATAGTCTGCTCTGACCTCTCCAGTTCAAGGAAGGGGACTGGGAACTAGGCTGCTGCTTCCAGACCGCAACTGCCACTGTCCCAGGGAGAAGGTGGGGCGAGGGTGAGTAAGAATGCCACAGAACTTTCCCACGACTTCGAAGAAGTCTTTTTCTTGATTGGGTACTTGCTCTGTTGCTATAAACCTGTGACTGTTTCCAGAGCACTGACACAATTGGTTCTGACAATTCAGCTTGCTTGCTTTTTTCTTTTCTTTTTAAATTTAATTTTATGTTTTCGTTGGGGCACACAAGCTTGGAGCTTCCTAGTCTGCAATTATGCTGATGTCACTCCCTTTGTGTATTATGTGTTTTTCTTTAAATAGGAAATTTATTGATAGAAATCTCATATTTTTTCATTAGATTACACATCATTTATTACTTGTTTTTTATTTTTTTTAATTAATTTGTTTACTTATTTTAATTTTTTTTTGACTGTGTTGGGTCTTCATTGCTGGGCGCGGGCTTTCTCTAGTTGCAGCGAGCGGGGACTAACTACTCTTCACTGTGGTGCGCGGGCTTCTCATTGCGGTGGCTTCTCTTGTTGTGGAGCATGGGCTCTAGGCTCGCGGGCTTCACTAGTTGCAGCACACAGGCTCCGTAGTTGTGGCTCACGGGCTCTAGAGCACAGGCTCAGTAGTTGTGGTGCACAGGCTTAGTTGCTCTGTGGCATGTGGGATCTTCCCGGACCAGGGATCGAACCCATGTTCCCTGCATTGGCAGGCGGATTCTTAACCACTGCGCCACCAGGGAAGTCCCTGAATTAGGTATTTTAAAATGATTCCACTTTATCTCTTTTGTTTGCCTATTAGCTCTTACTCTTAGTTTTATTTACTGATTGCTTTAGGGTTTATATTATACATCTTTAACTTATCAAAGTCTACTTTCAAGTGATATATACTACTTCACATATAGTATAAGAACTCCACAATAGTGTGCTTCCATTTCCCCCTGCTCAGCCTTTATGCTATTGTTATCATGCATTTTACTTTAACATATGTTATAAATCCCAAAATACATTGTTATTTTTATTTTTTAAAAAAATATTTATTTTTTTTTTACATCTTTATTGGAGTATAATTGCTTTACAATGGTGTGTTAGTTTCTGCTTTATAACAAAGTGAATCAGTTATACATATACATATTTGGTTGCACCGGGTCTTAGTTGCGGCATGGGGGCTCCTTAGTGTGGCATGCGAACTTTTAGTTGCAGCATGCATGTGGGATCTAGTTCCCTGGTCAGGGATCGAACCCGGGCCCCCTGCATTGGGAGTGTGGAGTCTTAACCACTGTGCCACCAGGGAAGTCCCTGTTATTTTTATTTAAGCAGTCAATTACTTCAAAGAGATTTAAATAATAAGAAAAGGAATCATATATGTTTACCCACATAGTTGCCACTTCCAGTGCTCTTCATTCCTTTGTGTAGGTCCTGATTTCCATCTGGTATCATTTGCCGCCTTTCTTTAACATTTTTTGTAGCGCAGGTCTGCTGGTGATGAATTCTCTGTTTTTGTATGTCTGAAAAAGTCTGTATTTCACCTTATTTTTTGAAAGATATTTTCATGGGTCTAGAATGTTAGATCAACTGTTTCTATTTCTTTTAGTACTTTAAAGACATTCCTCCACTATCTTCTTCCTTACATTGTTTCCTATGAGAAATCTGCTCTCATCCTTATCTTCGTCCCCCTTTGCATAGTCTTTTTTTCCCTCTGGCTGCTTTGAAGATTTTCTCTTCAGCACTGGTTTTGAAAAAATTGATTATGATATGCCTTGGTGTAGTTTCTTTTTTTTCTTCTTCCAGTTTTATCGAGATATAATTGACATACAGCACTGTGTAAGTTTAAGGTGTACAACATAATGATTTGACTTACATACATTATGAAATGGTTACCACAATGTTTAGTGAATATCCATCATCTCATATAGATACAAGATTAAAGAAATAGAAAAAAAATGTTTTTCCCTGTGATGAGAACTCTTAGGATTTACCATCTTAACAACTTTCATATATAACATACAGCAGTGTTAATTATATGATGTTGTGTATTACATTCCTAGTAGTTATCTTAGAACTGGAAGTTTGTACCTTTTGACTGCCTTCATCCAGTTATCTTCCCCACCATCTTCCTGCCTCTGGGAACCACAAATCTGACCTCTTTTTCTATAAGTTTGTCTCTTTGTTTTTGAAGTATAATTGACCTTCAACACTATGTTACTTCCTAGTACACAGCATAGAGATTCGATTTTTCTATATATTTCAAAATGTTCACCAAGATAAGTCTAGTTACTGTCACCGTACAAAGATATTACATAATTATTGACTATATTCCCCACACTGTACATTTCATACCCATGACTCACTTATTTTGTAACTGAAAGTATGTACCTGTTAAACTCTCTCACCTATTTCTCTCCTCCTCACCTCCCTTCCTCCCTGGCAACCACCTGTTTGTTCTCTGTTTATGTTTAGTTACGTTTGTTCATTTGTTTTTTAGATTCCACATATAAGCGAAATCTTACAGTATTTGTCTTCGTCTGACTTATTTCACTTAGCATAATGCCCTCCAAGTCCATTCATGTCGTCACAAACGGCAAGATTTCATTCTTTTTTAAGGCTGAGTAATATTCCATTGTGTATATATATACCACATCTTTATCCATTCCTCTTTTGATGGGCACTTAGGTTGCTTCCATATCTTGGCTATTGTAAATAATGCTGCAGTGACCATAAGAGTACACATGTCTTTTCAAATTAGTGTTTTCATTTTCTTTGGATAAATACCCAGGAGTGGAATTGCTGGATCATATGGTAGTTGTATTTTTTACTTTTTTAGGAATCTCCATAATGTTTTCCATACTAGCTGCACCAATTTGTATTCCCACCAACAGTGCACAAAGGTTTCCT